ATAATAATAATAATAATAATAATAATTTGGAAAAGCAGCTGATCATTGAGAAAGAACACAGCTGTTGCTAAATGATATGAAGTAACACGGTGTCTGGGCTCGTATCTGCGCGCTTTGCTCGCTCAGCTGTAGGCTCCTTGATGGTACCCGCTACAGCTCACTGCGGCATGTGGAGGTGGATGTACAATTTTGGAAGCAGAGCTTAAATTCCAACTGATAAGCATGCTGTTGCATTAAAACATTAACTTTGGCATTTCGTAACAGTGCATTTAAAGTAATGAAATTAAGAATCACCTAAATAAAAATAACCAGGTGTGGAAATCAGCAGCCTATCAACGATTTCTCACGTATGCGTTTATATGGTGCTCCCCACCACGATTACCACAGGAAGATTCAAATGCCATTACAGAAAGTGCAGGAGTACCCAAGGAGATGTAGGACTCAAGTCAGCCTTTAGTTGAGAAGATGTGATGCCGACTGGGTCCCTTCATCCAGGCAAACCTCTAACACAGATACCAGATTCTGTCCTCCAAGAAAGCGGACAGAGAAAAGTTTGTCTACCACAGAGGCGCATCGCTCTCCAGGACTCAATTTAGCTGCTCTGAAAATAACCGCAGACTAAGCAAGCAAATTTGCTAACCTCAATGACTTGGCTCATCATCTTGGACACCTCCAGTGGAGGTGATGAGCCTGGATCCCTCGGGCATCTGCAGAGTGGCTGGACCAGCCAGGAAAACTTCAGCCTTCGGAACAAACAAGGAGTGAACTCTCCTCTTAATCGCCCTACCATGGCAACCTGGTGAAGCCAAAGCCAGTTTTGGTTGGGTTAAGTCTATTTAAGGCTGCTTGCAATAAATATTTCTCCATCAAGTTGCAATCATTGATACCTCATGAAACTTCACCAGATGAAAGTCTGAAATGCAGGGAACGAAAAGCAGCCATCAAAGAGGTGAGGTGCTCCCCGGCCATCCCAAAACCCAAGTCAGGCCGACGTGGCGTAAAAACGTGGGAGAAATGCACGGTAACATTTAAAACAACGCTTTCAAATCCATCTGAAGTTTTCTGGGCTGGTTGAGAGCCACTTTGAAGACAGAGACTGCTGGCAGTATAAACTCCCCAGCCACTGCAAGCTGTTGAGTTATGCAGAGGAACATGCACGACGCAGTGTAAGTGTGCTGGGATACACACCTAGACCGGTCTCAACGCATGCTCAGTAAGCGGTTAGTAAATGCTTCTCAAGTGGTTACGACCAAAAGCTGGTTTCCTCTAGGTATGCACTATATAAGACATCTTTGATCTGCCACAGCAGTGACCCACGCCTCAGCCATTCTCCAAGTGTCTATCATCTGTTCTGCAATATTTTTTTCAGTCTTTTAAACAGCTCAGGAACTGCAAAGTTGGTTTTGCCCACACTTGGCGAGCAGATCCCTGTCTTGGCACCTACAAAAGGCCAACCTCGCACTGTGCTGTTGCAAATCCCTCGTGCAGCTCCACAACAACTATTGGGTGCTGCACCAGCCACAACACAGCTTCGGAGGTCACCCAGAGGGCTTGGCCAACCCAGAAAGACACCGATGATCCAGCAACGCTGCCCTCCATGTCCTCTAAAGCACCCGCTCTGTTACTCAGAGGTGTCCTGTTCTACAGCACGACAGCGTGCCAGCCACTCCTCCCAAGGACTCCTTCAACAGGATTTTCTTGATAAAACACTGATGTGCAGCTAGGTGTCACATTAAAGCCTGTTTCTTGACGTGGTGCTTTCAAATACTCATTTTAGCCTCAAATTGCCCCTTCCTCTGTCTTTAAAAGAGGAAGATATGCAGAAGATCAAAGGTGAAACAGTTACTACTATTTGTGCGTACCAAACACAGTTTAATGAGTGCTACCATCAAACCTGGTAAAAATAAAACCTAATCCTCAGAAAATATAAAACTCAGTGGCTACTACAGTTAAGACAATTTCCAGAGCATTCCTTAAATACAAATTCAGTTAAATACCAAAATAAGACCCTTGCCCCCACCTTTTAGCATTGAAAATGTGTTTTGTTTCTGAAGCATCTCTGTGTCCCCAACTCCTTCACATGTAATATTTCCCTGCCCAGTGTCCAATCCAATGCCCCGCGGAAGAGGGAGTGAGTGCCACCAGGGATAAGGGTGTTCCTGTTTCTCCCCCTCTGCTGCCCTACGCTTCTCAGGGCTGATGTGCAGGATTTCCCAGGGCTGCTACAGCAGGAGACAGACGGGAGCGCTAAACCCCTTGTGCCACAAAAGCTTTAAAGATATTGAAATAACCGCCCTCCCACCCCCTGGTCCGAGATCTTGGAGAAGTCCAGCGTTAGGACTTCACGCAGCACTTGGACCCTCTGCGCTTGCTGGGAGCAACATTTGGAGAGGGAACAGGTAAGAAAGCAAGAGCTCAGAGCTGAATCTTCCTGCCACAAAGTCCCACTCCATTCTCTTTCCACAAGTTTGCTTTGGCTTTTTTATTTTCTTTCATTTAATTTGTTTTCCTCCTTACAAGCGGCTTTGAGCACACTTACCATCTGGGACTTCATCCGGCCGCTTCCTTTTCTCATAAATAACTATGATGACAACGAGGATAACGATTTCTGCCAAGATCCCCAAAAAGGGCCAGAGGGGAGCCAAGTGGCTGCGGACACGGAGGATGGTTGTGACCGAGACGGAGCCGACCTGGTTGGTTGCGTTGCACTGGTACTCGCCAGGATCCTCGTTTATCTGTAGGTTCATGATGCTGAGCTCAGTGTAGTTGTCTTTATTTGAAATAAAGAATCTTCCGGAGGAGTTGTTGATGTCCTAATAAAAGGAGAAAGGTGGAAGAGGAAAAGAGCAAGAGCTTTAGTAAGTTCTGGTGCCTTTTCATAGCTCTGTCATGGAAACTGGTGGAGATCTGAGGGATTCTTACAAAGCTGCCAGTTTCTCAACACACCAGAAAAGCCCACCACCAGCTGTGGTGATGTTCTGCATCTCTCACTAAAGCAAATTGTGCTTCAAAGCAAGAACAAAAAAAGCCAGCTTGGCTGACAAACTGTATTTTTAGCCTACTTTTAACAGCATCAGCCATGAAACACCAGTGGTTGGGACCACGTAAGCTACCATGTTCTCAAGCTTTTCCTTCAAGAGAACGGTTACGCTCCATTCATCAGTTTACAGCACGAAGATGAAACAGGCAGACCTACACAGAAGAGAGAAGTCACAGGAGAGAGGATGTATGGCCCAGAGGGGACAAAACAATTTCAGTGTAGAGGGAGAAAAAGCAGCACCAGTTAACATTATTCTACACTGCATTAGACAGCATTTTCTAACTATGTAAGGTATGGCAGTCCTAACAAAATTTTGCCTTTGCTAAGTTTTTAAAAATCTGCTCAGACTTGTGTTTAGGGCAGCCTAAGCTACTGACCTCAGGAATATTTACAGAAGCTGGAATCTGAGGCACTGTATTCTTTCTACATTTGAAAAGGAGATTTCCAGCGTAGCTTATGTTTCAAGAATTAAAAAGGGCCAAAAACTTGGACAAAGGATGAATGTTTGATCTTCCTGAAAGTTAATCCGAGGTGAATTTATTGAATAACTTTACCAGAAAGACAGGGTGAAGGGAAAACTGCACAGCACCACAGGACTGATGACTCACAGCACTTGTTAAGCCACTCGCACAGCACTGGTCCTTAAAAATGTAAGCTTGTACTTAGTGAGCAATCAACCCATACTATTATTTGCTTGACATTTTTTTCTTCATCTGTCAGTCAAATTGCTACCTCTCTGGCAGATGACACAGCAGTGTCAAAACAGGTGGGCTGAGGATTTAGCCACTTCCAGCTTCTCTTCTGCTATTCCAACTGCTGGCCAAGTTATTTTGCTTGCTAGATCTGCTGTCACATGGAAAAACTACAATGACTGAAACACTTAAGGTTATCGCTGCCACATTCTCAGATTAAATCTGGTGAGCTCAACCTGTGAAACTGGAAATTAGTTTGAGTAATTTATAACCAAACCTTTTGAAATCACATTTCATAGCTCACATTTTGCAATTTGTAGCAGACACCCTGAACATCACATCTTTCTGGACAGTTCATAGCTTTGCCCAGCAGCAATGCAATGAGGAAATCTGTTCACACAACATCATAAATATCCATTTTATACTCGCTACTGCTGAAAAATTTCAGCTTCACTCATTAACTTACCAGACTTTTGAGGAACAGCATTTCGAGGTGTTACAAAGCACCCTCAACAATACACCTCTAAGACCAAGGGGTTTGTTTCCTTCCTTACTAGGGGGTTTGGCAGGTTAACGCATGCCTGATATCCCAGTTCTCTCACCTCGAACACTCCATTGACCTTCTTGCGCCACACCCATTCAGGATGCGGGAAGCCCACAGACTTGCAGTACATGAGTGCCTCCTGCCCCTCGTTTTTATTTTCACTTCGCTTGTGGCCGGTGATGTCAGGAGTAGCTACAAAACAAACCCAAAAACCTCTGTTTACAAGCTGCTCATGAAGGAGTGTTGTATCTGATTTTCAGTTCAGATTCCAAGTGACAAGTGCCCTGGAAGCCGCTGCCTTTCCCACATTGAGCCCATCTCACGGAAGGAAAATTGCAATTTCCATGTCTCCCCAAGCAGCATCTCAACATCAAACTTGGAGTTGTCTACCACAAGCCTGTAAAATGAAGATGGCCCAGCCATTCCCCCATGCAGAAAGCTGAGAGACATCCACATCTTCCTCCCCACCACACAGCAGTGGCTCTGCAGTATGTTCAGCTTTGAAACGGAGCCTGGTTACAAGTTGCCCATCGCGTCAGGACTATGAGCTGGTATTGTCTTGACATGAATTTCTGAAAGCTGAATCAAGGTATTCTTCTTTGGGCCGCAAACACGCTGCGACTGGTTACACCTCACAGCAACACTCCTCCTGGGTACCGCTGGAGTCAAAAATCCCTCCAGCAGAGACCCTTTCATTCAGCCTATACACAAACATATGCTCTAACGAGGGCTGCAGGTGAAGATGGGCAACTGCAAGCCAAACACAGCCCTGAATATTGTCAGGGCATTTTCTGAACTAATCTCTCTATAAATAACCTGTTCGCCACGTTTGTCGCAGCAGCCCGTGGCAGCCTAATGCCTCACGAGAGATTACAATGGATCAATGGGCTGCCCGAGCTGAACCTTCGCTTAAGCAGATGGCTTTGGTGCTGTAGTGACCACCTTTAAAGCCCATTCGCTTTCAAGCTCGCTAATTATGCCACACGTGGCCTGCTGTGTGATCGCGGGACACTGATCTGTTAATCCGGTCAGAGTCCAAGCCGGGCGCTCCAGGAAAAGACCCCCAGGAACTGGAATTTATTGTAAGGAGAGTTTCTTTTACCACTAGCAACCCCTACAGACAGATACAGAAAGGGAGCGCAGGTTTGAGACAGCTTTTCTGCAGCTGCAGGCTAAAAGAATTAAGCAAGTTTCACAGTTGCCATCAGCTGCAGCAAACAAAAACAAGCAAAACATCTCTTGCAACAGGACAACACCAGCTGAACCTGGTCTGTCCAAAAGTTACATCACAGCTCTTCGGGAAAACATTCGGCAAGTTTAAGTGCTAGAGGAATTCACATGTGTCAAATACAAGGGCTTTTCAAGAAAGCATTCCACGCAAGATTCTTTTCAGAGAGTAACGAAGCCAATCAACATTGTTAGAGGCAGAACTCAAATAGGCTCTGAAAAACGGAAGAATCATAGCTGCAAGAACACATAAGCTACAGCATTCCTTGGTATGTAATACACCAGGAGAGGCTGAGCAACCCAGGCTTTTCCCAGAACAATAAGTTCAAACAATTTCCAACATGTACGAGAGCTTTCTCCGACTCAGCAACAGCCAGAGCTGTCAGTGTGCTGAAGCCTGACAGATCTGCTGCACTGGATGCTGCTGCAGAGGATGCAGAGGCCAGGTCCTCAGCAGAGATACTGCCCACTAGAGATCACAACTAACACCAGGACTTCTGGTAAAGCCCTTAAGGAAGTGACACCATTTAAAGACACTTTAGTATGTTATGCATGTTCTCTTTTGCCCCTCCAGTTTCTAAGTGAATATCTTTTCAGCAGGGAAGTGAAAAGAGCTCATTGCCTGAGTGGATACTTACAGATTTTGATTCATTACTTCCCTCACCTTCTTCCTTAAGGATGACACAATCACAGTATTTTTCTTAGGTAAAGAATGGCCTTGCTAACAATACTCAATTTACTTAATTGTATGTAGCAAGACCACTGGACGAAACTAGACAAAGGCCAAATAATTGCAAGGTGATGCTAACCATAACCATGATATATCAAGAACGAGGCACTAGGGGGTTTATTCATTTTTAAGAATAATGGCACCTAAAACGTATCTTTACACATGAAACATGGAAATACTTTGAGAGACATAAGACAAAGATGTCTTTGAAAGAAGACATCAGATCACAACAATCCTCTGGCCTTGTACAAAAAGCAGCTGCCAGGTATAGAAAACGAAGCAAGTTGGAAAGCAAAGAACATCCCATACTTGCTCAGTGATCACGTGCTACCTGTACCAGGGGCAATAACACTTGTTGAAAATTAAGTTTTCAAGCTGGAGGTCTCCAAGCAGAAAATAAATCAGCTTTAGGGCTGAGCGTGCTGCATTACATCTTCAGGATCCTTATCACCAGCAGGCACCTGCAGCATCCTTTCAAACCACTGCCTGCAGCCTCAAAAAGGCATGTAGTATTTATTCCAAAATAGGGTGGCTCTTCAACAAGAGGCGAATTTCATCTTGTGATATGCTGAAAGGCATCAGCTCCTCCTTGCTAAGCTTGGAGAGTTCTCTCTCGGGCAGGAGCTAGGCAAGACTTCCCTGGGGTTTTTGCTTCCTTGAGGCCCACAGGCAAAGATCACATCTGACCTGATGAAAATGAAAGGCCAGCAGAAGCCAAGCACAAGAGACAGACTCAAGGTGACGAGGCAACGGTCCCAAAACTAGCACTGAGAAGCCGTCAAAAGTGACTGCAAATTACCTCCATTAGGAAAAGAAGAAATAGGATTCACCAGCTTAAAGCTGAAGCCCCACACAGTCTCCATCTGCCAGCACTTTGGTTTTTCACTGCCATCCACCAGCAGCCAGCGAGCCCGTGCAGGTCCTTGCAGGTGGAGAATGCACCGCAAGGCAGCACCCTGCAGCTGGCCCACTTTTTCTCTAAGGTTCCCAATAGATAGAAGAAAAACTTTCTAGGACACCTCAACTTCTGCTGCAGGGTGACCTAGCGTTCTCCTACAGCCAAGAGAGAATTGTATTTCTTTAAGAAGAGGACATCTTTGCTGGGTTATCCCAGTGAGAGCATAAGTGACAGGAATATATTCTGCTCTTGCTTTGCTGGGCACAGCGAGGTAGCAGCCATTTCCAGCTCTGTGAGGAGAGGGACTATTTCTGTACATGGTCTGAGGGGAGCACCAAAAATAAAGTATTAATATTTCAGGGCATCTGAAGCTGGCCAGGTTCAAGCGATGGCTGAGACACTAATCCAGTGCTTATTCCACCAAACTGTTTGGCTAATTTTGCATTCTGCTGTACAAGCCACAATTAAAATATCCCTGCAATTGACCTCAATCACAGATTTAGCAACAGGGAGATGTTTTCCTGTGAAGCTTTTCAAGTCAAGATTTTTCTCACTCCATTCTGCTCCAGTGCCCGTAACAGATAAAGCACAGAATGAAGCAGGTTTGGTTCAGGAAGGATTTAAATTTCACTGCAGCTTTTAAGCAGCGCAGTCCACATCTCTGTTCAGACAGAGCTGGCTGTAGAGACATGGGCTCGCCTTTGTCAGCTCCTACATCAGTGAGACCGAGATAACGCTCCTGATAAAAGAAAGCAAGGTTTTTGTTCTTACACTGAAACAGGAAAACTAAATACTGAATGTTTCTTTGAAACAGGTTGTGAAGCAGCAGAAAAGAGGCAGGGCTAGTTTAAATTAACTGCTACTAAAAAAAAGTCCAATAAACACAGATTTCAGATTTAAACATTCTTGACAGAAGAGTAAACTCCTGATAAGCATCATTCTTTTGATAGTTCTAAACGGCATCACAACAAAGAGGTTTTGTGCCAGAGTAAACATTGGGCCTTTGTGCTTTGAGTACCCAATGCACTGTGCAGCAAGTGCTTTCTGAATGGGGTGGTTTGAACACAGCCCTGAAAAGAGGGTTGGTTTTTTGTTACAGGCATGCAGTGTCATTTCTTGACACATAGAAGGTACTCAGCCCTTAATTTCCAGGTATTTTCAAGAAGTTTTACTAGTATTGCTGAAAAGGAGGGGAGAACTAAAATACATAACACCTCCAAACCATGTCCCACTTAACAAAACCTCTTCAGGTTTTCCCATTAAATGACAAAATTAAAGCAAGGACAAAAGCACCTAAAAATATTCTTGCATGTAGAAACTATTACGTCTTACGGGTGACCTAGTAAAAGGGCTCTGGAAGATTTCTTTTTCTGCACTATAATTCTACTCCATGTCTAACTTCATAGCCTGGGTGGAGAGCTCAGAAACAAAAGGTGCTGTGGAAAGGGAGAACGTGACGCGCATTTTCCGTGTAACACTTCGGACCACTCTGAGATGAGCTGTGTGCTAAAAAAACACCACAATTAATGCAGAAATTGGGCACAGTGTTGTGAAAACTGCTGCAGAGGTTTCTTGAGAGAGGCAGGACTCAAGAAATCAAGATCTTCCAAGGCTGCTGAAAGAACCACGTGTTTTCCAGTACGCTGCTTAGAAGTGAACATACATAGCACATCCTTCTTGATGCCTGCATTATTTCTGGACACAGAGGGAACCGTCAGTATGTTCTTCCCCATCCAGGGCTCACTGCTGCTGCCCTGCACCAGACGATGGATGGGGGTGTATCAGAAGATAAAAGAACAAATTTGTTTTCTTCTCTTCCTCTCAAGATCTTGGTAAGAGCAGAAAGATTGCAGAGGCAGAATTCTTCAGAGTTGGATGGTTTTGAGTTTTTGGGGTTTGTTTTTTTTCCTCTCCTTTTAAATCTTTCCAGCATCACTGCAGGTATTTCCACCATGTGGCAACAGAGCAATTTCAAAAGCCTATTTCCAGACAGGGAGAGACAGCACGTCGTACCTTGGCTGGTGCCTGGCAGGATCATCGTCACAACTCCTGCTGACAAGAACCACATCACACAGTACGGGCTGGTCACCCGCGATGCTCTCAGCCAGCTGACTCCACTGCGAAAGCCAAGAGTGGGAGAAGATCTCTATTTCAAGACAGAATTTTCTCAATATCAGCATTTTTGTTGCTTTAGGCTTCGAGCTGCACTCGCACAATGCCCCTAACAGCTCTGAGATAATTTGAGCAAGAATAACCCCATGTCTTCACCAGATACTTCATCCAAAAGCCGATTGTGTGAAGGAAACCAGACTCACGCCATTCCTGGAAATTCCCGGAGACAGACATTAAACCCCCAGTACTTTCACGTGCTGTAATACCAGTCAGGTTTTTTACCAAGAAAATCTGCTTTAAATGTCCAAGCACACCTACCAATTCTATCAGTTTCTGCATTCCTTTATCTTCTTACGCAGCACACGTGGAGATTGAGGAAGAAAAGAGGAGACATTACACAAAAGGCCCTGGTGTATCCTGGATTACATCTGCTGCGAGGCATTTGTTCAAGTTGTTCGCAAGCTGTCAGAGAGTCGCTATTTTGGGGCCACAAGCACTTTCTTATTTGGAACTATCTTTTCTATGTGCATCAGCAGTTCAGCATTGCAACACAGTTACAACAACCAGCAATTAAATTTGTGTAAAACTGCTCGTCCACAAATACCGTGACAGGCCACACATGCAGGTAAGCGTTAAATTACAGCCTCTGCATGGTCAAAAAAGAGTTATGCATCACTGATGCATTACATACGCCTTGATTAACAACTAGGTAACATCTCCACACTTGAAGTGGTATCAAAATTGGTTTGCTTTGAGAACTAGGAGCGCTTTGGCAGAACACGTACAATATTTACAACAACCCCTAGGACTTCTCTCTGTCAAGGAGGAATTTGAAGCCCATCAGCCACTCTTGTGATGCTGCAAGGAGGAGCTGGAGAACAGGGAGATCCCAAGCTCTGGAACTGCAACTGCTGAGCAAGGCGCAGCTGTAAAACCTCCCAGAAATGGTGCTGGAGTCATTCACTTTTAACTCATTTGTCTTTAAACAGAAATTCCCTGTGAAAAGTTGTTAGTAGGATTAATTATTATTCTCTCTCTGCCCTCTGTGCCAGTACTTCGATCAGCTATACTGGCTTTTCTTCATAAAATGTTAAGTCCTACATTCTTGTAAACCTCTGTGCCAAGTGTTCTTGCTGTCCTCACCGAGCAGCAGAGAAGCCCCTAAGCCAAACATTTCTAAAAGCTCCTTTGAGAGATTTTATGAAGCCAGAAAAGGTTTTAATCTAACACTGAAGTTAAATTTCCTGTCTCTGGAAGCGGTTTGTCACCCAAAGCAGACGAGAGAAGGCAGAAAGGACTTAAGATCTTAATTAAGATAATATCAGAAGATTTAGAAATTAGAACGTAAGAGCAGAATGCAAAAAAAATCCCCCCAAAAGAGAAGAAAACCCTACACCTACGTACCTTGAACACCCAGCAGACAAGCTTACCAGAAGTACAACGTAAGTTTGAAGTCAACTTGCTGTAAGCAAAGCAATGAGAATTTTTAGAGGTGCAGTCAGATTTTTAACCAATAATGCTCCATTTCTGATATGTTCCTATGCCGTACACCTCTGAGCTTGGCCAACAGCTGTACTTGGCACTGGTGAGGCCACACCTCGAGTGCTGTGTTCAGTTCTGGGCCCCTCACTATAAGAAGGATGTTGAGATTCTGGAGCGTGTTCAGAGAAGAGCCACAAGGATGGGGAGGGCTCTGGAGAACAAGCCTGATGAGGAGCGGCTGAGGGAACTGGGCTTGTTTAGCCTGGAGAAGAGAAGGCTGAGGGGAGACCTCATCACCACCTACAACTGCCTCAAGGGAGGTTGTGGAGAGGTGGGTGCTGGTCTCTTCTCCCAGGTGATGGGGGATAGAACAAGGGGAAACGGCACCAAGCTGTGCCAAGGGAGGTTCAGGTTAGAGATAAGGAGGAAGTTCTTTACTGAGAGGGTCGTCAGAAGCTGGAACAGGCTGCCCAGGGAGGTGGTGGAGTCACCATCCCTGGATGTATTTAAAGAGCGGGTAGACGAGGTACTTAGGGATATGGTTTAGTGGGTAGACAGGAACGGTTGGACATGGTGATCTCAGAGGTCTTTTCCAACCGAGCGATTTTGTGATTCTGTGTAACAGGAGCTTGTGGTGCATTCGCATAGCACACATATTTTAGATTTCCTTTTTCCTTGCAGAGCTAGATTTGGTGAAACACTGGGTGTATTTTGATGGGTTGTTTTAGGCAAGTTCATTGAAAAAAACTTCTCAGATTGACAAAGGAAATCTGTAAGGCTGTCTTGGTACAATATTGGTCAGAATACGATAAATAAGCGGATGGTAAATAATGCTAACTTAGATTTCAAACAAGTTTACAGCACACTGTCATAAAACAAACATCAGTATAATCCCAGACACACACAGGCTGGTTGCAAGACTTTTACAACACATTTTTGCATGATCTCATTTATCTTTGACTGATAAAGCCACCACAGTGCATCAATTCCAGCTTAGTGCAGCACAGAGGGGGCAAACCACGGCTACTGCAGAACAGTGGGCCAGTAATTTCCAGAGTTATTCAACCAATCAACTGTATTGTGCCAGCAGTTTACCACTGTATATAACACCATCAGCTCTGTGTTCCTTCTGTTTTGTACAGCTGAAACACTGTTCTTTTGTTCAACAACTACAATAAAATTCAGTGCGAACAGCACATTTGCATTTTCCAGCCACAATTTTAGGGTCTTAAAGATATCAGAAGAGCACCAACACACACAAAACAGGCAGAAAAAATGGTGCATAAAAGTAGGAAATGCCAGTCTGGTACAGGGCACCTGTCCAAACCAGAACCCAAGCTATCTCAGCAGCTGATACAGCCTCTGCAGACAGAGCCTACAATTACACCAGCTCCAGGCTGCCACACGGGAGATGCCGGTTCTTACTTTTTTCCCCCACATTCAGAACAGAAACTCAAAGTACATCGAATACGTTCAGGTGGCCTCTTTTACTGTGAAACAGAAAGCTGTCTTTGCATAAGCACAGATCTATTCTATAGCAATCTTCATCCCACGAGACATGCTCTCTCGCGACAGCCAGATTTACCAAACGAGTGCAGAAGTCTGTGCTAGAAGGCGTTTTAGTACCCTCTGTGCAGACCACAAGTGCAATGGTCACATTCCCATTATCTGCAAGATCCTACCCCAAAATTATAACCAGGGATCGGACACAGGCTTGATTTCATGAGGACAAGCTCTTGAGTTAGCTCTGTTGTATGGACAGTGAGTGAGATGGCAGAGGCAGGGAAAGCACTTCACTTTTGGGGAGCGGAAACAAAACACAACCAAAAAAAAGAGTACCTCTCACTTCTATAGTGGCGTTGGCTACAGGAGAGTTTGAAAACACAAACACGCACAAGTATTCCCCTGACTCTTCTGCTCTGGGCTTCAAAATCCTGCAGACAGGGAGAGAACACATGAGCCAGGTTAGGTACAGTGTTAGCAACCAAAAAAAGAGCAGGCTAGGAACTTGTTTCACACCCCCCCCATGCTTTAAACTGAATTTCACAGTTATAACTTGTTAATTCAAAGGATGTTGCACAGACATACCTACTTGAAATAAAGGATGTTCTTTGCCTAGGAAATGAGTGAGCCCTAGCCTGGAAAGCCAGTACCAATTTACCTTGAGAAGCTGCGTTTAGTTTAAAAGCAAAGGTTTAAAAGCAAAGAAGGAGCCCAACAGCTGTTAATTACACACTACAATTAGTTTGCTGCAAGTCATCATCAAGTCGCCTGCCTATTAGGCAGATATCACCTCTCACTGAGGGAGAAGAGTTAGTTGTATGTACTACCTGTATTGGAAAAACATCAGAGCACGGCCAATTGGAAAGCGACCGACTACAAATACAGGCAAAGCCGACGCTCATCTCACAAGCTGTTGTTTTTTCGTAACAGATACGAGACAGGTCCATTAACAGTTTTCTCTGGCTCAGACTGGATGTGGAAAAACTGCAAAAGCTGGGCAACTCATGAAGGAAGACACCAAACAAGATGAATTTATACTTGAGATGGTGCTAGCGTCAAGCCCACCAGCTTTTGCTGTCCTTCAAATACACATGACTTAAAAGCTCAAAGCACGTTTTCTTCAGATATTTACCTAGAAAAGACATCTTGGACTAGAGAAGCATATGATGATGTGATGCAGAATTTACATTTCGACACACCACAGAATAAGGTCAAGTTCTCCCCGTCCCTCCCTCCCTTTACTGAAAGGCTTCTTGGCTTTATTTTATTATTATTAATTTTTAAAAAACCACATTAATAGCATGCAGATGAACAGAAACCCTGATGAAGAGCACTGTAATGAAACAGTTTAATTACACATGGAAACTGCTTAGCCACATGGAAAAAGCTGCCCAGCTTAACACAATACTTTGACTCAAGTCTTCGCTGTATTTACAGCGTTTGTTTTCCAGAGTCACCAGTGAAAGTCTAAAGTTAGTCATAAAATTAATACGTCTTGCAGATAAGCAATAATTATAACCACTTTCCAGAGTTAAAGATTATCTCAGTGACAGAAGGAACAACCATTCAGCACCAACATCAAAGCAGTAACTGTAGGCTGGTAAAGCATCCCTAGGAAGTGTGCAGTAACCCCAGCCACAAGTGCCTGCCTGGCAAAGGTGCAGTCCTCATCCAGCCTGAACAGGACAACTCCACCCACTTCCATTATTAGGCTCTCCTAAGACTCCTCTACTAGAATATTATTACCATAAGTCACTAAAGCAAGTGTAAATTGATACAGCTGCAAAGTTTCATAGACAGAGAAGCACCTGAAACAAGTTTGTTTAGCCAACACCTTCCTTCTGTGCTGTGGTTTTAGGAAAATCTTCGCTTTTTGTAGATGCAGACTTTTCAGTAGATGCAAAAAACACCATTTTCTTCAATTTATCTCAGTAACCTGCTATCCGACTCTGAATTAACTGGTAAGGAATCCAGAAAGATGTCACCACCCTAAACTATGAAGGCAGACAAGGGACAGGCTACCAGAATCGAGCACAGGGCTGCCAGAACCACTTCCAAGCAATACCTGCTTGTAGAAGAACACACCACAAATAACCCTTGCCTATTTTTAATTAAAATGGTGAGCTAAAAAGCTATACTTAACTCTGAGCTTTCTGACTATACATTGCTGCCTTCCAGCAAGGGCAGCTACTTCAAGTTGGAATGAAGATTTAGGAAAGATGTGTCTGATTTCCAGTGTTGCACAAAGCAAGACTTTTAAGGTAAGTAGTAACTATAAATTCTGAAGCTTTTCTGAATGATAAACAAAACTGAACTTCAATGAAATAACTCCATTTCCAAGCAAAACAACACATTTTAATGACTGAAACACCAAGAACCTGAAACATTTTTTTTTTTACTTTTAAGCAAAATAAGTACATGGGAAAAAAAAAAGCATCAAATTTTCCTTAATTCTCAAGCTGTCCTGTGACTGCAGCATGCTCTGCCAACCCTTCATGCCCTCGAAAACAAGTGACTGTCTTAACCATCTGCCCACTTTACTTCTTCCTTCTTTCTCCGTGAAGTTAAAACTGAAAGCAAGTTTAATTCTTCCTTTACAGAGGAATTTGGAAGGAGAAACTCACCCTAGCCAGGGGCAGATAACAGAAAAGTCAGCCCCAGTACTTGGTTTCCTGAAAAATAATGATGTGTGATTTTGAGTAATCACACTCAAAATGTGATCTTGATGCTCCGTATCTTTTGTAGCACTCAAGCTGGTGCTTTTGGACAAGACTGCTCATCAAGTTAATTGCTAGATAAGAAAGCAGAGCCTTTAAAACTCAGCCCCAGTGTTAAACACTGTACTGAGGGAGTAGCAGGATGTAATTATGGAACTAAACGAGACTATTTTTTTTAACTGCAAAATTGAGCAGCTACTGCAAAATGAGCTACAGTGGAAAACAAAAGGAAAAACTTGAACATATATTTATTGGAATCAAAACTTCCATAATCCTGTGGATGAACAGATGCTTTGCTAAAGCAATGAAAACCTCGAGTATTGCTCAATCCTGTGTCAGTAAGCAGCATTCGTGTTGTACAGAGCTCACAGTACTCGGCTGGATGAAAACGAGTTGAGTGTGCAGGCAGATTTCCTTCCTTTAATGCAGAGACAAAGCAAGGTAAACCAGATGTAGTACAATATAGCAGGCCTTGACAAGAAATAAGCACCTCTCTTTGCTACCCATGCTGGCTTCAAAACCAAATCTTTAATCAAGGTTTGATGTCATTTCACTGTAGTGGTGTGTTAACTCATCAGTAACAACTCTGAGAACGCAGTTGTTCATCTTCCAAGGGCAGAAAATTACTAAACCAGCTGATTTCAGCAGTGATTTATGTGCTGCATTTCCCTGCATATTAAAATGCCCAGCTGCAGGTCCTTCTTTATGCAGAGCAAGATGTAGACTGCACAATTATACTCAGAGGAAAACAAAGCTAGGCTGTGTCTGTACCTGTGTCCACACATCATCCGTACTCTAGAGAGGAACTTAATGAGTTTAGATTGAAAAGTGAAGTTCACAGTGAGATTTTGTTGACATTACATTTACATGAGGCAGTTGGGACAGCTACAGACTGCAATTTTTCCAGAATCGTTCTTCTAATGCTATTCACAGAGGTATTTTTTGTGGAGTCTCTAATGCAGATCACCCCAATTTGACTGCTGTGGAGCTGAAGCAGGGATCGTGGATTTCCAACACCCCATTGCCTGTTCCACAGCCATGGGACTGCCAGGTTTGATATTCTCCAGAAGATTATTCTGAAGAGACTTACTTGTATTCTGTAGTGTTTGAAGATTTTCTAGTGCCAGGAATCTCCTCTCCGTTCTTCACCCAGTAGCTGGCAGAAAGGGGGCTGGGACTCGTGGTGAGGTTACACTGCAATGTGACGGCCGGACCATACAGATGAATGACTACATCCTCGCTGGCGTTGATCCTGGGCTCTGAAACAAAGGATGCGTTAAATAGAAACAAATCTTCACTGGCAATCGTGCCACGCTAGTCTAAAGTTCAAAGGGGACATCGGGAAGGGAAAAAGACTACACAAGGAATGTCACTGCACTAATTCAGGAGACATCGAGAAAGTCACAGTAAAACAGCTGACCACTAGTGAAGGCAACACCTTACGGATCAGCACTCCTACATGGAAAAAAGAATGATTTATTTTAGATTGCATATTGTAATGTTTCACATCACTACAGATTTCTGTGTAACACCACCAATCATTTTGTACACGTTACTGACCATAAAGTGGGAAAACGCATCTTATGGCACTATACATAAGAGAGCAGCTGGTCCTTCAGAAGCAACTTCTTTCTGGTTACAACTTGGTTCCTACACTTCGAGGTTTAAAACAAATCCATTTTCTATACAGAATAATTATTATGAATGCTATTTCTGGACTTGCCCCTGCAAAAGGCTAGCATCTATGTAAGGAAGGTACCTTGCACACACAAGATATGTCAAATAACACCACCTTTTCTGATGTCTGAAACTTGAGCAAACACTCAGGGTGAATAAGGCACAAATCTGAGGAGGAATGGCTGAAAGCAGCCCTTAATGCTTAACAATAAAAAGTAAGAACACACATGATGTTAAAATTAGAGCTGGGAACTATTTTGTTTCTAAAGGAACCCTAAACATAAACGTTTAAGAAGGAACAACAAAAGAGAGCCCTGTTGCATAAACGGACCACAAGAGTCAGACTTTGCTGGCTGCATAAGGAATTGCACCCAGGCTGTTTCACATTACAATCTTACCTGGTAACACAAAATTCTCATCTTTTGAAAGGGAGAGCCTTTCAGAAATGATAAAACTAGTATGAAGGCACTGCCCTTACATTTGATAACCAGGTGTACTCAGGATCATGCAGAAGGCTATCAGTCTCCAATAAATAAAGCTGATGAATTTTGGATTGGTCAGAGACAAGTTTCTTTCCACACTTGGAAAAAAGACCTTTCTATGGAAGGTCTTGTGGCCCACAGCTGGTTTCAAGCATTTTACAAGAAAAGCCTTCAACATAAGGTGACAGGAAGTTTCAGGATTCTTGCTATTAGCCTTCCCAAAGTGTCTAGCTGTAGTACCACGCTCCTGCAGCGCCAAGCTCTCCAAATGCCTCCTTCGCATTCTGGTCGGCAGCAAAGGGCGAGAGGGTGAGGAAGTCGGGCAGTAACAAGCGGCTTCGTGACTTTTGCAAGTCAGCAAAGGTTCTTTAATTCTGTAATTTTTGTTATGCCTTGTGGTGACATGTTTGGAATACACATTGAGTCATGCCCATGCAGTCTTTTGGATATTCAATCTGCAAAGCACTTGGAACACAAGTTATGAAACAGAACAAGTGGAAAATACCAGGTTTTTTTCTTTCAACACATACAACATTCATTTATCCAATAGTACAGTACTTAAATTATTGCCCAGAGCAGCAGGGAGGAAAAAAAATATCTACCTACCAACAACCTGATAAAGCCATTCAACTCCTGAATATCTGTCTAGTGACTTCTTCCATAGGCTGGCTACACAGCTGCTTTTCACAGCTATTTAAAACCAGGACCATCACTGAACTGCAGAAGAACTGGCAGGTACTGCAGTAACGGAGGGGTTTTTGACACTTCTCACCGACGCTTTGCTATTATCACACATTTTCAACTGTATTTCTGCCTCATTGTTCCATGCTGGGCATTTTAACCATGCAAGGATCTGTTTGGATCCTGTGGGGCACAAAACCGTTTTGCTAATTACTGGACTGCCCTGTATGCTTATCCATCAAAACAATGCCTGTGTGCGTTCTGAGAAAAACACTAACAGAGCTCTGGAAATATTTTCAGCAACGTGTTTGAAAGAATACTTCAGTGTCTGAACTTTTATCTAGAGAAAAACTTTTGCTAGAATGCAGTGATCATACTGAGTTTTTTTTTAAACATTTTTCTTTGACGATGAAAGCAGCATCTTCAAGTCTGCAGCCTGCAAAATAAGGACTTCATTTTCCTTTAGGAGGAGGATGCTGATGCCGTCTGTGCTGTGCTGAGATGCAACCCAAAGCCATGATCAGCCTGCAGCCATCCTGGAAACAGAGAGCTGCCGTGCTGCCATCAGAAAGCACCACACGAACACCAGCAACCGGAAGAAGTCACCAAAAATCCAAATCTAGTCCCTACAGAAACCTGAAAGTTAAAGACTTCATCCAGACAGTGGCAGTCCTCTAGCTTTCATGTTCTGTTGATCATGGACTCTTCAGCCTCTAGAACATGAAAGTAATAAAAGAACCAACTGCAGCTCCAATGACTGCTCTGATAATTCACACCTATTCTTACTTACATCTTCACTAAGCTGTGATGCCCAAAAAGATATTTACAGCTATCTCAAGTCTGCTTTGCTGGAGCCTTTTGTGTGTGACCTGCAACTCTTTAAGTTTTAGGTTAGGAAGATTAAAGGCAACTGCCGTCTCATTTACATCTTTTACCTGTATTTATATCACATTCCTTTTTTTTTTTTCCTTTAAATAAACAAATTAATTGGGCAATCCTAGCCTGATTTAATTCTAGAAGACAAATGGAGTACTACTGGGACAGGGACATCCAAAGGATGTCCACCTGAAAGAGCAAGATGCTGAAGAGTCTCTTTCACATACCACTCAAATTGCCCACATTACGTAGGATCAGGATTTTAAATTTAAAAAAATATATCCATAACTGAAGTTCTTTTTGCAAGCTAGGAATGAGACAGACTGGTTCTTGGGTGCTAACTTAAAAATCAAGTTGCACTTGATCTCTTTGCATTCACATTTTGGTGTTTGAGACAAGCTGTGATTTAAAGGACAGTGAAAGGAGGTTGTGCTCTTTTGATGCATTTGATGCTCCCTTTCAGCGATGCTGATGTCAAATAAGGCCAGCAGCAAAATAACCCCCATCAGCTGGAAACTCCAACACTGTTTAGTCAGAAAACGCTCATTTCAAAGACAAGTTGTGTTCAGGCACACAACACAGCAGCTGAGACATTTTGGGCAGCTTCAGATGAGATGGTCCCCATCTTCTGCTTCCCCCTCATCTCCGTTTCCAGCATCGCCACGCAGGGGTTTGATGTCCACGCGGTCTGTTTCCCAAGCAGTAGCTGGTCAGATCTCTTAACATACCCAACATTACAGAGTAAAAGCATTCAAGTGTTTGGTTCGACATTTCCGCCCCCCATGAATAAAACACAAAAGCAGAATTATCCTGGGCACAAGGCACTTGGCAATGAAGTCACGATACACGCTCCAGAATTAGTAGCACCAGATGCAACAAGGCGATGTTAACTGAGGAGGAAGACGAAAGGTTAAACTTCAATCCCCGGAGCAGGTTAGTATTAATATCAATGGTCTAAGAGAGGAAAAACCCACTTTCCATATGGAGACATCTTCACATAGTTCACTCCCAAATGGTGACTTCGCATATGAAAAGGATTTTCACCCTCAGTAGGTTACTAAAACTGACTGGACACAAAGAGAAGAGCACAGGACCACCACAGACTTACCACATCCAAAAAAAACCTAAAGCTCTTAACAGGGGCAAGGGGGATTTCCAGGAGACATTACTTCCTAGAAGACAAATTTTTAACTTTGTCTTTAATGAGTCCTAAAATTACAGGGCTTTTGATGTTGTAGATCACGCAAGCAATCTGCCCATCTGAGTCCTCCGAGACCTCAAAAGATGTAGGACGTATCAAGCATTAGGACTGAAAGCCGAGCAGGTTTGAGCTGAACAACCCAATGCCACTTAAATTTTGAAGTCAATCAGCATCATTGGGTTCACAGTCTATTTTTCCACATATATCAATGTTGTTTCCATTTCCTTGGTCTCTGATCCAGCAGAGGACACCGCAGCACCATTCGGTCGCATTCTGCAGACCAGCAGCCAGAGACATGTGCATTTTAGGAAGACTTCTTTTCTTTTTTTAATATATCCCAAAACATAACTGAGACATAATTACAAAGGTTGATATTTTTGTAGTCGAGGTGGTACATAACAGGTCTATTTATGCACCGAGCACAACAGACCTGTACTCTACTGTCTGCCACCTCGGGACATTGAAAAACCACAGAGAAAGCAAGTTCTCCTGTACCTCCACGCTGCAGGCTCACGTTGCAGATTTATGTCGCCCTGCCTGTAACTCGTGATGCATTTGCTTCATCTCAGCAAAGTTAAGAAGTGCAAGAGTTTTGCATTTCACACAAAATGAAATGGGGTTCTTCTCTACCAGCTAAAAAGATAACACACTTCAAACCTCAGCTGGGGATGCTTTAAAAGTGAGCTGAACGCAGTCCTGCAACAATAGACAGCAGAAAGCAATTCTGGATCAACCCAGCTTTTGAAAGCTTTGCTGCTGCCAAAAGTTGCATTCTCAGATGAAAGTCATTTAGCTAAACTTATTAGTTCAATGCTGGGGGAGGATATTCCCCCCCTCCTCCTTTCATAGGCTGGATTAAGAATAGCTGCATCAGTTCAGTGCTGCTGCATCAAAAAACTCACTAGGAAGATGCTGCTGTTCAGAGAGGAAAAGGAACACCACGACTTCATGGAAAAATCTAAACATCAAAGGTCACATGTAACTGAAAGGATCGTACAGAAGCAGATATGCAACCAACACCACGTGAGAAAGCATTCAGAGAAAATCCAAGCGAACAGGAGAAATAAAACAGTTAGACCTGGGAAGAACACAGAAATCAAATATAAAGGCACTCATGGAAAAGGCAGCACTAGGGGTGGCTGGAAACCTACTACAAAACTAAAGGGGGTAGGGAAGAAACACAAATTCAAGACCAGGTTTGTTTTCACACAGCAGCTATAAAACGGATCCATAGATTTATTTATTTCCCTTCATCCTCCCCCCCCCCAAGTCCTTTGATCCTAAGGAGAAGACACAGACAGCAAACAACACCAGTATTACAGGCAGAGGAGCGGTCTGGGGTTCAAAACAGCAGGAGGAGGTAGCAGAGGGGTTTTTATCAGGAGAACGGGGGGTGAGGGTCACTAGACTGCCTCTAGATACTACAGTACCACTACTGTAGGGTGCCGGACTCACTCTGAAGGACGCTTATAGTAGCCTGGGCTCGAATCCACGTTATGGAGGGATTTTGCCTCAAGTCATTCCTCCTGGGATCGTTGCTGGCCCTGCACTCGTAAGTCCCAGAGTCTTCCAAGGTAAGGCGGGTTATTCTCAGCACACTCACCCCATTCGCCCCGTAGGCAGTGTTAATGGTGACACGGCGCTTCCGAGCGCCATCCCACAGCTGTTTGAAAGACTCAGCCCGGTTGACTTCAGCATACCACCACTGGATCTCTGGAGTGGGGTTCCCAACCACATCACAGTACAGTTCAAAGGCGTCCCCCGTGAGTTTAGTTTCTGACATGGGCGACTTGACAAACCCAGCTAGAGGGAGGGGCAGCAGAAACGCAGTGACAGAGCAGCAGAAAACAACAGATCTTATCAAGAACAAAGCAATGAGGTGCAGAAAACACAGAGTTAGATAAGACATTAGCATCTACAATAACACAACTTTCATCAAAAAAGCACAGCACAGGGGTCAGTAGTTTGAGAGCAGCGCGCTCCCACTCGGGGTATTCACAGGAGGCACCAAGCACTTATCCTCAGCCAGAAGGTACCTCCCCCAGAGCAGACTGATGGGTTTTTCAAGCCTTTTTCAGTTGAGTGGACCCTGTAATTGGCAAGTGTTAAGTGTTTGTGGCCAGATGTCTTCTCCCTAAGGAGTTTTCTTGCTTTATATGACCTGCCTACAAGGGGTGAAAGGCAAAACCCTAACCCTCTGCCCTATGCAGTTCACAATGGTGAACTCTGCTTTGAACTTTTCTTCCATCTATTTTGGACTTCGGAGGCAGGGAATTCCCCAAGGCACAAGTGACCTACTTTCCTGAAGCAGCTGGATCACCCCACAGCTCCAGGAGTCTTGCAACCTTCTAAGGTAAAGGGAATTTTGGTGGTATATACACACACAGGCCAAGCATTTTATTAGTTAGGAAACACACAGCATTGAAGGTACTTCAACAAACCACACGGTGTTTGCCTTCTGAAACGAGATGCTGTGCTGACATTCGTGATCAGCCCAAAATATCCTTATTACGGCACAAAATCCTTCAATACTTACCAGCTTCAGAGCTGGGTTAAGAGCACAGACATACTAAGTTGTCCTTCAATCCTATTTTCCAAGGTATCTATTGAAAACAGCACTGCCTCAAAGCTTGTCTCCTCCCCCCACCAGGCCCCCCCAAAAACTAAAAGATTAGAATACAGCTGGCCAGACAGATTATGCAGCAAAACCCGTCATATTGCTGTGCTCCCTGGACAGCAGGACTTCTCATCAGCCAGCAGAGCTGGAATGCCACACAGCTGAGAGAAACTCGGACTGTTTCATCCCTCTCTCCTTAAATTCACTGCTTATTTTGAGGAAGAAGATTGAAAGACCGTTCATCACATTTTAGAAAACAGAAAGGTAGACTTAAAGCTCTGGTAAAATTTCTGATGCGTGCTCATGAAACAGTACTCCCTCTCAGTCCATATCTCTTTACCACACTCTGCTAGTCACTAACTCGTGAAACAAAGAGTTTTACACTGAAAGACTGTGCTATGGATGCACCTCTAGAGGATCGTTTGGGCAAGAAAACAAAACCAAGAGGCCACCGTTGTTGTTCGCAGAGGTTACCAAGGATTGCACTGTGCTCACACCGCTGCTTGAGGTGCCACAGGAGGAGCAGGTCATGATCTTGCTCTGCTGCCCATTTCAAGGGATGCCAAGCGAGGAAGACTTTGTATTCCCATACAGCCATAAATCAAACATATGTGCTATGAAAGAATACTGTAAATCCTCTTATTAAAAGGAGTGTCAAGTCATTTGACTAAAGCAAGCTGTCAAAAAAGCTTATTTTGAATCTGATTCTGCACTCGCTAAGCTGTTAAAAGTACTGTCACTTTTGCACAAAGCCTAAAAATAATTTTAAAACATTTAACTGGACAACTGCATCAAAAGGTCTCTCTAGTAACTATTCTGGCTATTAACTGGTTTTAAGCTTTAAACCCTACATTTCTATCAGTTTCAAATTGTTCTTGAGAAACAATGCCTCATCGCACGATAAATTTCAATGCCGCACTATCTTGATCTGAGTAACCGTGTCATCAGCACGGATAACTCCGTAAGGATGGAAAAGGGAAAAAACCAACCTGCAAACTGGGTTTGGTATCCTCCCTGCCCCACTAAAAGTGCTTTTTTAAAAAAAGGTACTCCAGGTTAAAACAAAATCCTGGAAGGACAAATGGAAGTGGAGGCAGCAGAAAAGCCTCCATACACTAATTAATAAAAACTTGGCATTAGAAAGGACTAGCAGCACTATTAAAAACTCCACACAGCAGTCTCGGGTTAATGTTTAGCATTTTCATTCGTTCAGAAACAGCAAAGGCAAGACATCAAACAGCATCAGTAAGTTGATGCCTCCAGCTACTGTATATCTGCCAGAGGGCCATTTCCGATTAAGACACCTAGCCAGAAGCTGCGAAAAGAACTGAAATCTGCCAGGACCAGACAGACACGTTTAAAAAGAAAAGAATTTTTAAAATGAAGAAAAGAAATTAAGAAAAAAAAAGACTAAACATTACAGATAATGCTCCCTGTAACACAACAGGAGTCTGGAAACTGAAGCACTCCTGCCTTTTGGCAATTGTCAGCGATTTCCATAATTGTTCAAAAGCAAACAGAAAATGACACTGTACAGATTTCACTGCTTACATAAGAGGCTTTCGGAGCCCAACAGCTTCCTTACTTGGTCTTCTCTAAGCACAGCACTCACTGCTTTGCTATTACCATGTTCTGCACAATTCTAGAGACAGGAGCATCAAAAACCCAAATATAGATCAAAATACAAACAGATCGAGCCAAGAGGTCAAGGTTTCTTAAAGTGATTACACCAAATCTGTTTAAAACTGAAAACCTGCCCTTATTAGTAATTTATATCCTGCTTATTTCCAAAGTGTAAACCGTAGGAGGCATTGGTTGTAAGGATGATCTGACACGGATGAAGTGCCAGCCCCGTACAGAAGAGCAGAGCAAAACCGCAGCCAACATTCAAAAGCTTGCAAAGGTCAGGGCTCCTGGGAGGGCAGAGGAAGGAGGCAATAACTCATAGATCACAGCGCAAGATCATATGGACCCATGGGAAAGGAGCAGAACAGCCCAAATCTCAAGGGAATCCTCAATGTCAAATAGGAATAAGCAGCTTCAAGTGCTTACAAGAAAATATTCCTATAAAGTTTTGGTACTGGAAATTTTCGCTCTGTCGGAAGCCGTATTTATTTCATTAGTAATAAATCAGTTATTCTGTTACACTGTTTTCATTAAAAGGTGTTTGCAGGGAAGGGTTATTTGGGTTTGGATATTTTTCAAGATATTGTTACTGTGCATTAAAAAAATAGAAAATAATCTGTTAAATATACCTCAAAAGGTCTTCACAAATTCTCATTGAAGTACATGATAACGTAGCTATTCAAGTATGCTATGATGTTTCCAACATTTTTTTTTAAATTAGTCTTAATTGATGGTTCTCTGCCTGAAGGACAGAACTAAGAACAAGTGGCAATAACATTACATCACTTCTGAAGTGATGCTTCGTTACTGAAGATTTGATCTCCCCCACCAATTACAAAAATAAAGGTGAAGAAAGCAATGGACTAATGCTCCAAAATCAAACAAAACATAGAACTCTGCCAGGGATGAATGAAATCCAGTGTGCAGCAGGGCTCTTCACGTTTGCAAAGTCTCTGTTACAACTGGTACTGCAGTGAAGCACCACTAAATCCAGCTTAAGGAAAAAATGCATTTCTGAAAGACAGGTGCACTTGAACTGGGAGTAGGGGAGAAGCTAAGAGCTATTCAAAAGGGCAGCCAAAAATTTCCATACACAGTAAGAGAAACAAGTACAGCAGACTCCTAGAGCCAGAAAGCTGGAAAAGCTCCATATTAAACAAACAGTCCAGAAGAGAGTGGACAAGAAGCCTAAAGATGGAGAGGTGAAATGATTGTAAAAAGCTTAGCTTTACCCCTCCCGAGCAAAGAGTTTTCATTAACGAGGCTTTGTCAATGTAAAGACATCTTTTCAGGTTAATTTTCCTTCTGCCAGTATTTATTAGCTACCTGGATTAAATATCCAGGATTCAATATCGCCCACAATTAGAAATTTATACATATTAGAAGTGCATGGAAACATCTCTCTGTACTTTTGACCAGTTTCTGAAGCCTGTAGAGCACTTTGTGTTCCACCTCAGCTGGAGCTCAAACGGAAAAGAGACACAAAAGACCATTTTTGAATCACACACAGAATCACTTGGTTGGAAAAGACCTCTGAGATCATCTTTGAATCGCTTCAAACCAGGATGGCAATGACCAAAGAGCTCCCTCACCTGCCAGAATGAACATACAAAATAGGATCTTGAGAGATACCAACAATTGACATAAAACATGCTAGCAGTGACACACCAGTCTAAGAACATATAGTACCTGACAAAAATCATCCTTGAGTTGCAAAAATGATTGATTTAAACATCCTTCTGTTACTACAATTTAATGCAAGATGCACAAGGTTGCAAAATAATCAATGCCAACGGCACTGGAAAACCAAAGCAGGGGGAACACTGATCTTCCCAAGTTAAAGCCTGGCCTAAATAAAGGGGTGTAAAAAAAATATAGGTAAGTGTTAGCTGAGGAAAGGAAGTGTTAAACCAGACCCAGTGAAGACAAACAACCAGGTTTAAATGAAATGCAAGTATTGCAAGAAGACCTAACAAAGTAGAACAAATTGATTTCTCTTGGTTTTACGTGTACCAAGCATGAAGATTAAAGCTGAAAACAAGCACAAGCCCATCAAGAAACAGCAGGAGGAGACAGTCTCGAAAATGGAGTCTGCAGAGATTGGGAAAGAAGCTGTGAAGTCCAAGGGGCTGTTCGGAGAGGTTCAAAGCAGGATGCACACACAAGAACGTGCAAAGGCGACCCAACTGAAGAGAACACAAAGTATTTCCATGGACATTTTCAAGCACCAGGAATGTAACTGGAACAAAACAACTTACAGTCAGGGGCAAAGCGGCACACGTCTCCATCCAGCAAGATAAAGCTCCTACCCTATCCTCATCCTGTCTTTAGTCTGTGGTGGATTCCACTTACGCAAAGGCTGGTTAGAGCCCAGAAAAGTGTGTTTTCAATGGCAGTGCAAAAATAAACCTTATTTTCAGTATGAACCCACAACACCCAGACAAAATGCAAACTACTCAGGGACTGACTGCTTCACAGACTGTCGACATTTGCAACAAAAACCATCCCGTAAACAGCAAGAGGCTGATGTTCCCTATTTGTCCTATTAGCCCACCATATGCCTGTATTTCATTGCTTCACCACTGCTCTCAGGCCTTTAGCACAGTTCTGGAT